AAGAAGATGGTGGCAACGGTTCGGGAGAGCGGTTAGCGTCAGTTGACGGCGTGGGAAGCGAGGGCGAGGTGAACGGACGGACGAAGGTTGGTGCAGTCTGAGTGCTGCAGTTGGTCCGGAGGTGTCCAACAAGTCCAATTGGCGCCCGGAATATCTGTTAATATCGTGGACGCATTGGATGCGGTTGGGCGCTGATGTTGTGAGGCGGCGACGGTGGCGTAGGCAGATGATGTTTGCGTGTCTCGCGTTTGGCTTTGGCAGCGGCGATGCGGTTGTCGTCGAAGATTGCCTCGCCTATCTTTATTGTTCTCCTCCACGTAGGTCGGTCTCGGGTGAGGTCTTCCCAGTTTGCCGAGTTTATTTGCAGGCGCTTCAGGGAGGTTTTCAGAGTATCCTCGTAGGGCCGGACTTGGCCTCCCTGTTGGCGTAAACCCGTCGCGACATCTCCATAAAAGAGTCGTTTGGGTAGCGTTTCGTCGTCCATCCGTACGAGGCGGCCGCTACAGCATAGTTGTAGTTGTCTCAGCATCGCATAGATGCTAAGAATTACCGTCCGCTCCAGTACGTCCGCGCCTGGGATCCGGTCTTGCCACTTCAGCTCCAGTATTCAACAGAGACAACGGAGGTGGAAGTGGTTGACTCTGCGAGCCTACTTCATGTACATCGTCTAGGTCTCTGCTATATACAGCAAAGTCGACAGGATGACAGCATTGTACATCTTCAGTTTCGTGCTGCGTTGAAGACCGTGACGATTCCAAACTGCGTTTTGAAGATGGTCGAAGGCTCAACTGGCCTTCGAAATCCGGTGGGCCACTTCATCGTCGATTTCAGTGCTGCGCGAGAGGGTGCTGCCCGAGTATGTGAAGTTGTCCACCACTTGCAGATGAGTTCTGTTCTCGCTGATGTGCGGTGCACTGTGGGCAGTGTTGGGGGGCGGTTGGTGCATAACCCCCGTCTTCTCCGTGTTGATGATTAAGCCGAAGTTCTCGCAGGCGGCAGAGAATAGATCTATGCTATTTTTAATGTCTCGTTCAGGGGTTACATTGAGGGCGCAGTCATCGGTGAACAGAAGTTTGTGGACGACGATTATGAATACACGCGACTGGAAGTGCGCACGCCGTTGATTTAGGAAGTGGCCGTCCGTTCTGTCGGCTGTGCGGAACCCGGGGCGTTCGTCGCAGTAGGCCTTCATCAGCATGGCAGAGAAAATAAGCCTGATGAGGATGGGCGCCAGGACGCATCCCTGCATCTCTCCGTTGGTCACTGTGAATGCCTCTGAGACAGCCCCATTGTCCGTTGCTCGTGCCATCATGCCATCGTGGAGCTGACGCACCATCTGATTAAAGCGCTCGGAGCAGCCATATCTCTGCACGATTTTTCGCAGTCCTTCGCGATTCACCGTGTCAAAGACTTTCGTCAGATCCACGAATGTAGAGTAGAGGTAGGTACGCATCTCCTGACACCTCCAGCAGATCATGTCTGTGGTCTCGCGATGACGGCGGAAACCACACTGGCTTAGCGGTAGGAGACCTTTTTCCGGGTGGTTATTCAATCGGTTGAAGAGGATGCAAGCGAAAATTTTCCCGGCGATGTTCAGCAGAGAGATGCCTCTGTGGTTGTCTCAGATTTGACGGTTCCCCTTCCATTTTAAGAGATGGACGATGGTGGAGTCCTTGAAATTCTGAGGAACTTTTCCTTGACGCCACATCTCCTGAAAGGGCGTTGTCAGATTATCCATGAGTTGGGGTCCGCCGTGCATGTAGCTCTCATCAGGGGTCGCGTCCGATCCAGGCTCTTTCCTGCTGGAGAACTGCTTCGCGACCCCGAGAGTTTCATGGAGATTGGGCAGGAGGCTGAGGTCCACGTTGGTCTTTATCTGAGACAGACGGACGACGGTGGCGTTGGAGATGGTGAAGGGACGGTTGAGGACGCCTCTGAATTGTTCAGTCCATCGTTGAAGAATATGTGTTTTCTCGGTGAGTAAGGTATTAACGTCGGCGCTGTGGAGGAAGGGGCAGTTGCTTTGGTTGGCGGACCGTAGACTGATTTGATCTCGGAGAAGAAGTTCTTCCATTCGTTGCGACCCGCATACCCTTGGGTCTCCATGGCCTAGCAAGTCGTCCAAGCATCCTGCATCACACACAGCCGCTGTTGCATAGGACGACGAAATTGTTCGAAGACTGCTCTGTTTAAGTCGGTCGGACGGTCGACGTAGGCCTTGTGCAGGAGGTTATTCTAGGCGAGTAGGTTGCTGATGGCGACGTCGTTTTAACCAAACCAGTCCTGGTGTTTGCGGTGTGCGCGACCGAGGACAGCCAGGGCCGCGACTAAACTGTGTCCCTTAGTGGACACCATCAGTTCTCCACGGCCCGTCAGCGTCGGCGGCGGCGGCGGCGGTGGTGGTGGTGGAATGACGATAAGGGGCAGCAGGTGCGCGAGAAAAAAGCACAACGAGACGGCGGGGTGTTTGAATGAATGGAGATAAGACAGCGGATTGAGAATACGTAAAGAGAAAAAAGGACCAGGAAGAGAGCCCGAGAGGGGCGATGGATTATTTGGAAATGCGGGGAAGGGGAGACATGTGTGACATTGGGGATAAAAATAAGAGAGGCACTGAAGGCATGAAAGAAAAATAACACTTGCTATAAAGGATGAGAATACAAGCCTGAACGAACGTATCGATTCGTAGACGGCTACCTAGAACAGAACAAAAACGACGTGAATCAGAATGAGGGAAATCTCCAGGGGA